GAAAGCACTTTCAGCGACGGATCAGCGAGGGAATTTTCCCTCGCTGATACCCAGCATTTTTGTAGTGTATATACGTTATTTAAAAAAATATATATGTTCCATGCATCCAAATTTTCGACTAACCGTAAATAGTCATCAGAAAATATATGGTTCGTTTGTTGACCAATGAATCTAACAGACATTAAAAGCAAAAGACATAGACGCACTGCATCAATGTCTGTTATTAATTCAAATTTTTGTTCTTTAAATACTCGGGTAAGATCACTCATGCGTACCGATCGATTTTCATCAACGTCTAAAACCCGAGTTCTAAGTGAAGACTCTATCATCTTTGGTAATGAAGGCTTATTCGGGCCAAATTTCATACCGGTAATAAGACAAAATTATTTTCGCCGAAAAAGTAAAAAAGTCCCTGGACATTAAAATACAATGCTTCTTTACGGTCTTGCTCTAGTGGCGGCACCTACATTTGTAATATCAAATGCACGAGCATCTGATCTTGATGTGTTGACCGAATATCAAGCCAATGACTAAAGCAGGTATTTCTAAACATTTGTAGTCCGTTTCTCGACCTCCTTAGTGCCCTCAAAATTGCATTTGAAATTCTAGTACTTGATCTTATATTAACAAATGTTTCATAATAATCCCCATGATAGATATAATATAAAGAGGCTACAAAAACAACATATAAAAATTGATGTAAAAATGAGATCATATTAAAATTAATATAAGAATACTTACCATGATGTAGAAGATCAAGTTTCATCCAACGAGGGTGAAAGTGGTAGCCGAATATTTAAATTGATATTGTAAAAATGAGATTATATGGGTTCTTGATATAAAATGCAGAAATTAATAATAAAGATTATATTAAGGTAATGAAGAAGAAAGTGATAGTTTTGTGTTGGTTACAAAAAATTTAAATTGTTTATATAGTAAGGTTGATGAAGATTAAAATAGGATAAATGTTGTATTGAAAATAAACAAAATCTCGTCAATATTTTTTGAAAACCTGTGACTGGTGGGTCCCTCACCCACCGCACATCAGCCGGTGCGTAAGGGTCAGCTAACAGCACCTCCCCTTGACATTGATGTCATCAACCATCAAATCCGTATTTTTTTTACATTTTAATCTCCCTACACATTTTATGATGCTTAATATTAAATATGAGGTTAAATATTGTAAAAAGTAAAGTTTATGGTTGTTTTTATAAATATTAAATTTTGATTTGTTAGTTTGGTAATTTTTCTTTAAAAAAAGTGATGCATTTGATGTGAAATAGTGATGAGGCATTGAGTAATTGAGATGGCAGGATTCTCCACCATCTCTCTGTTAGTTCTGTCGGTCACAAGATGGATTGTGATTCAAGCCATTGATGGAACTATCGAGCTTGGCTAAAGGGATTAATTGACCCTCATAAACTTTAAATCTTTTTTATTTTCATATTATATTATTAAAATTATTATTTAACTATATTTATTGTTTCAAAATGCCAACAAAAATATGGTTTATCTCCACAAATAATTTAATCGATTTATATAATTTGTTTTTCATATTAATTTGTAGGATTATAGTTTGGCAATTGCTGAATGGTTTGGTGCAGAATGATTAAGTGGTCAGAATGATTAAGAGGCTCTCATGATATAGTGCAAAAATGAAATATAAGTGTTTGGTAATTGTGTACAATGGAATTAGGGCTCTTAATGGTTAAGGGAGATCCCTGATACAAAATCATTCAGAGGGTTTAATTTAGAACCAATTAAGAGGCAGAATTTTTTTTGTCAAAAAATATTCACTTCTTAACGATTCAGAGGTTGCCTTTTAATTGAACTATTAAGAGGTAAACAAACAACCCCTTAGTTTATAGGAACAAAAAAATAAAACGTCTTATCTAAAGATGTTGTAATAAGTTTATATGACATTTTTGACGTCGTAATAAGTTTTTTTAAGACATTTTTAATATAAAACGTCTCATTAACAACTTTATAGGACACTATTTGAAAAAATGTCCTATAAAAACAAATGTCCTATAAAAAATTGAGTTTATAGGACACTTTCTCAAAAGTGTTCTATAAAGTTGCTAATGCGACACTTTGTATTAAAAATGTCCTAAAAAACTTGATAAGACGTTCAAAAGCGTCATATAAACTTATTACAACATCAGGTAGCTTTATATTTTGGTCCTATAAATTAAGTTTTATAAAGCGGTCTATTGGAACGTTTAGAGATTGAGAGTGTCCTATAAACTCAATTAATTTTGTTGTAGTGTAAACAAAAACATAAATTAGCTTGTCAACTGTATTAAGTTATCACCAAAATTCATGAATCCCAGTCCTGGCTTTTTCCTTTAGGAGGCGACAGGACTACAGATATTATCCATCGTCTCGTAATGTGGAAAGAAGCTTCAAAACAATATATCATGGCCTGAGATTGAACACGTAATACTCGACTGCCATCTATCCAATGGAAAGAAGAGGTGCATGGCAGTGGATTTCCTGCTGCTGTGGGCGGTAAAGTTATCAGTGTATTTTGACCTTCATTTTGCTCATTCATGACGTAGCTAGCATGAATCAATCTGGCATACACACACATATAAATAAGAACATGGATCTGGTGACCCAAACCAACACAGATAATAATGGTTCTATTTCTCATCGCATTCTCAGCTCTCTTTGTGTTTTACCTCTTCCACCTTTCCAAGTTCAAAAGATATTTGCTGACCAAAACGCACCTCCCTCTACCACCGGGACCTGCCGGACTTCCTATAATTGGAAACCTGCATCAGCTCGAAACCTCCAACCTCTCAGACCACCTATGGCGTCTCTCAAAAGATTATGGTCCATTAATGTCCTTGCGCCTTGGTCACGTCCAAACCCTCGTCGTTTCTTCTGCTGAAATGGCTAAAGAAATCTTGAAAACCCATGATTTGGTTTTCTGCACGAGGCCTGTATTAACTGGCCAGCAGAAGCTTTCTTACAACAATAAAGATGTAGCTTTGTCACCATATAGTGAGTACTGGAGACAGATGAAAAAGATTTGCACCCTTCATCTCTTTTCAGCCAAGCAAGTGAACTCGTTTCGTTCGGTTCGCGAAGAAGAAGTGTTTGACATGATTGATACCATAAAATCTCGAATTGCGACCAAACAAGTGGTGAATTTGAGTGAGACTGTGACTATTCTCACGAGTAATATGATTTCTAGGGTGGCATTTGGCAAGAGAACGTATGGGTACATTGACGAGCAGAAAGAAGTGAAGCGATTTCAGGAGCTACTCATGGAGTGTCAAGCTTTGCTTGCCAAATTTTACTACAGAGATCATTTTCCTTTGATGGGGTGGCTAGATAAACTCAATGGAAGCATTGATCGACTTGAAAAGAATTTTAACGACCTGGATGAAATCTATCAAGAACTTATTGACGAGCATCTGAACCCGAACAGGCCAAACAAAACGCAAGACGATATGGTCGACATTTTGCTTAAGGTCAAGCAAGAGTACTCAAATTCCGGGATGGAACTCACTTTTGATCACATCAAAGCTGTGCTCATGGTGGGTACTTCATTCAATACTTTGAACTTAATCCATAGTTGTTTTCATTTCGACTTTGGATCATGAATTGCTTATTATGTAATAACTGTGGTTGAATTCAATTTGCAGAACATCTTGTTTGGTGGCACAGAAACAAGTGCTTCAGCAGTGGTTTGGGCGATGACTTTACTGATCAAGAATCCTAAATCTTTAAAGAAAGCTCAACAAGAAGTTAGGAATGTGATGGGCAACAAAGGAAAAGTACAGGAAGATGATCTTCAAAAGCTCTACTATCTGAAAGCAGTAATCAAAGAAACACTTAGATTGTACCCAGTTGCACCCCTCTTAGTCCCACGAGAATCAAGAGACCGATGCATTTTGGACAGATACGAGATTCCAAAGGGAACTCTGGTGTACGTGAATGCATGGGCAGTTGGGAGAGACCCTAAATGTTGGGAAAACCCTGAAGAGTTCGAGCCAGAAAGGTTCATGGGTAGTAGTATTGATTACAAAGGAATGGATTTCGAGTTGATCCCATTTGGATCTGGTCGAAGAGGGTGTCCAGGGATGTTACTAGGAGCTACGACCGTGGAGCTAACCCTCTCCAATCTTGTTTACTCATTTGACTGGGAATTGCCGGATGGGACGACAGAGATCGATACATTGACTACTCCTGGGACTGTTTCTCATAAGAAGACTGCTCTTCGACTGGTGGCTAATGTTCATGATTATGATCGGTTGGGCTTCGAAGCTTTCTAGTGGTTTTGTTGATCCTTTTTCAAAGTGTTGTGAACGATATGAGATTGAAGGTTGATTTGATATTCGATATATGAAATGAAGCAGATGAAGATCGTGATGGAATGAATTGAATCAGCCGTCCAGCGTTTGTATTTGATTATCGATTGGAAAGAAGTGACAAATGATATAAGAGAATAACAAAGCCAACTTGTGTTAACAATGTTTAAATTCACAAATTTAACGGAAACCATGTAATGCATATTTATATATCTTTCTTGAAGGAAAGAGATGTACAACCGCAACTCTTGGAAATGTTAGTGAGGTTGGAGGTTTTTCTCCTTCCCATGTTGGTAGATAGAAAACTTTTAGAGAGTCTTATAAAGCTTCCCTCTTAACTAGGACTTAAATAAGTTGGTGGATTCATCGGTGGAGTCTTGAGTGGAAGGCCCAACACACATGTTTATTTGTTTTTTTATAAACTTAAACAATTGGATAAATCAAATTAAGAAAAAACGGGTGAAATCGGTTGGTGACTAGTCTCTACCTGATCCTAGGGCTGTAAACGAAGCGAACCGCTCCGCAGGAAGTTCGTTTATGTTCGTTTATTTAATAAATGAACGGACATGAACAAATTTTTTTGTTCGTTTAGTTAAATGAACATGAACAAGAGTCTCGTTCGTTCATGTATGTTCGTGAACCGTTCGTTCATTTACTGTTTGTTTATGTTTGTTTTTTTTATGTTCGTTTATATATTAAATTTAATATATAATCTTTTGTTTATTTACTTTGAATTCAAATGTTTAGTCCGTTCATTTATGTTCGTTAATTTATTAGCCCGTTCGTTTATATTCGTTTATTTACGTTCGTTTAGCATGTTGACGAACGAACATAAACGCACACGAACATGCACCCCTGATTTCTAACCGAACGAACACGAACACAAAGATTTTCGTTCGTTTACCGTTCGTGTTCGTTCGTTTGTTCAGTTAACTTAAACGAACGAACATGAACAAGCCTCCATTCGTGTTCGTTCGATCGTTTACAGCCCTGCCTGATCCGCGTTTAAGGGGATATAGGCGTGATGATGGGGGCGGTTTAACGGGCATAAATACTGGGTTAAACCACCTCAAATCACATATCGAAAATCCTCAGTTTCTCTCTCGAATTTCTGTCGAATATCATCTGCTCTCTCTCTCTCTCTCGAATTTCTGCCGAAAATCATCTGCTCTCTCTCTCTCTCTAGAATTTCTGCCGAAAATCATCTGCTCTCTCTCTCGAATTTCTGCCGAAAATCATCTGCTATCTATCTCTCTCTCTCTCTCTCTCTCTCTCTCTCTCTCTCCCTCCCTCCTGCTTCAACCAGTATGCAACTACCATCTATTCTGCATCTACCTTGCTTTTGATTTCGTTATAAAAACTATTGATAAACAAAACACGTTACTGCATCAAATCATGGGGCTTTGAGACTAGTAGACTCACAACATACTAGAGTGATCGTAATAAACCTTTAACGATAGGTTTCTACCGTCCAAATCTCGATTCAACGTCACTTCAAACATGTGGGCTTTAATTTTCGTGTATTGTATTTACTTTGATGTTCACTAAGTGGACAACTCTGCTTCTACTCATTTCTTTCATTGAATCTATCGTGAAGGATAGATTCAATCTATGTGGTACTAATTTGGTTTGGGATTTCGATTCCGGATATTTAAGTTACGGTCTTTAATAATAAAAGTTTTAACTTTATAGTTTAATTTATCTGTTGTATAAAATAGTTAACCTTTATTTATAAAGATTAAAACTTCGTCGCTTTATCTATCTAATCTTTATTATTTTTTCAACAATCTTAAAGGTTTTATAATCAATAGACTCCAATAGACTTTGGAATTACCGAATCTTGAACCAAGACATGATGAAACTTGAGAAGTTCGACGGGACCAATTATATCCGTTGGGCCGATAAGGTCAAATTCATGTTGATGGTTGAGAAGTTGTACTATGTTTTTGACCCAAATCTCCCTTCCATTCTCGAAAATCCGGTTCCTAAACCGGGAAAAGAACCGGATAGAAAAAAAAATAGGCGACTTTGAAAAGATGAGACTAATCCACAAGGAGAAAGAAACCCTTGCTTGTGGACACATATAAAATGTCTTGTCAGATTGGTTGTATGATCTATACTCTTTGATTACATGCCCAAAAGAACTTTGGAAAGCATTGGAATTCAAAGAAGATGGTACAAACAAGTATCTTGTGTCTCAATACTTGAGATTTTAAATGGTAGATGATAAACCAATTTTGGAACAAGTGCATGAGCTCCAAGTTTTAATAAACAAACTGAAATCGCTTTCCATACCTATTCCTGAAATTTTTCAAGTAGGGGTAGTCATAGATAAATTGCTCCCATCTTGGAAAGATTTTTCAAAAAGAATAATGTACAAATCTGAAGATTATTCTTTGGATGATTTACTAAAACATCTTCCAATCGAGAAAAATGTACGTAATTGGGATAAGAGAGGCAAGTCTCTATTGAGTACTAATAACGTACAAGCTGGAGGCAAAGGAAAGGGAATGGCTGGAGGTCCAAATAAAAGGTGGAACCTGGGTCCACAAAAGAAGAGCTTCAAAAGATCGGGTCATCAATCAAATCTAGTGTGGCATTTCAAAAGGGTCAGAAAGTGTCACGTCTATAGAGAGACGGAACACTATGCTCGTGAGTGCAAGCATAGAAAGTCTGAGCCACCTACTGCCAACTCTGTTGAACGGATTTAGTTACTTGTGGCAAATCTTCACATGGAGGAGATTGACATGATTTCAGATTAAAGGTTGTACTCAGATGTCTTAGATTTCTTTAGTAGCAAAATTTGTTGGATATTACCCAATAGGTAATATGTCTTTTGTGCCTTTAGATTCCGTAAGAGATATTCATAAGATTAGTATAAATAGAGTAATTCAGTAGTTAATCGAAAGAAAGAAAGAAATCTCTTTGATCTTTGCTTCTCCTTGTATTTGTATTTTTCATTCTTGTAATTTAAGCTTTTGGTTAATAGTTGATACTGACATTTTCATTTTTGAGCACTTTACATTTATAGCACATTTACACTTCTACTAGTTTATCTTTCTGCAACCTTTACATTTCATGCATTTTATGTTTCTCGCGGTTTATGTTTCTTGTAAATTTACATTTCTCGTAATTTCCTTTTCTTGCACTTCTCTTTAATTTTTATGCACTTCAATTTCATGTCTTTACTTTTTCCAGCGATGATAGGCTAAACACCCTAGCTTAAACTTGAGTAAAGGTTTGAGAGATAAAAGTTTATGTGTTAGTGGATAATTGTTTTCGCTAATAGCAATCAACTCCACTATTCACTTGTTATGTTTCATCCATAATTCTTGAAAAATTAACATATGTCGTTTCACTTAATGAGTTGAACTTAAATGTAAATCAATACAAATATTAGACTACTGGATATTGTAGATGGCTATAAAGACTTGCATCAACCATCACTGGTTGCAAGCTATATGGAAAGAATTGTAAGGTCTGTACCATGCTCAAATTTGTGTTCTTTTGATTATTGCTAGAAAGTGTATAACCTAAACTTTGAAAAACGGTTGTTCAATTTAATAATGGCAGTTGAGAACTATTGTTACAACAACTTACAGGTGTTATAGCAAGATTCTACTGTACTTAGAGCATATTCAACAGTTATTCTAACATGGAGAAAAGGGGAATTTTAGTATTTTTTTTGCTTCAACAGTTATGTTATCTTGTATGCTAAAATAAAGTAAAGTGGAGAAAGATTGTAAAAAATCTCTACCAAACCCTTCCAACTCCCAAGTCCCAACTTTCCATCTAGGTTGCAGGTTACCATCACCAAGCTTCTTGCATCTCTCATTACACACTTCCATCATCAAGCTTGCATCGGTCCGTTTTCCATCACGACAAGAGTTACGTCTGGATATCTTCCATCTCTTATAGCTTTCCATTTACTTCCTTTTTGTAGATATTGTGGCAGATCTCATTTTAATTTAAATCATTGTTGTAGCTCTTCCTATACTTTTCATCTCTTGAAGATGTTTATACATGGAATCAAACCAGGTATGTGATGATATATCAATAGGTTAATCAAATACAGTTTTTTGCTTGATTTACTTTGTGAATTTGATCATGACTACCAACTGTTTGATGAAATGTGTTAGAGGAAAAACAATGTTTTTAGTGAAAAACAAAGAAATTCTTCATGTGGGATTCTGGTAATATATAAAATAATAATTCAAGAGAACAATAATATTGGTAATTGTTGATTCAAGGTTTAGATCAAGGTTTCTTACTCTTTCGTTTTGGACATTAAGTTGACCATAGAACCAAGTAATATCTTAGGGACCGTTATTGAACGCTTACCTATATAAGCGGTTACTAAGTCACATTACCTTACCGGATAAATATAGCAAGGACCAAGAATCTTACCCTGTAGTAACGAATGCTACCCTGTAGTAGCAAATGCAAGGACCGAAAGTTCTACCATGACTTTAAATCTTTTAAAGTTCAGGGGCTTTATGTATCGTTTATAGATGAGAGTTGAATTGATTTTTTAAGTTTAAAACTTTGATTTTTGGGTAGAAAATTTAGGCTTGTTAGTAAAAATGTTGAGTTGATATCAAGTTTAATTGTTGATAAGAAAACCTTTATATGGTCGAATTGGTACTATGTGTAAGCTTTAAATACTTTGAGTTGATCATCTCCATCTTGTTCCATATATGTTGATTTTGGGTTTTTAACCATGGAATTCAGTACTCTTATATGGAAATGAAGATGGTAGAATTTGATTAGATTGCTCCTTTTAGCAATGTTGGTGGTTAAAATTATTGTCTTAAGAATAGGAGTTCTCGAATCAACTTTGAGAATTGGGAAAAAAAGATTTGGGTTGATCAAAGTGTTGCAGGGCTGAACCAGTATTCCAAGGGGTTGGGTGACTAGCCACACGACCTGGGTCGCGGGCTAGGTCGCGTTAGTCTCTGATGTTCAGTTTTTGTCTCGTGTCATTCAGAGGTTTTTCGGGGTATCATTTATATACTTTGGAGGTTGTTTAGAAGGAAGGTTAAGCCTATCTATTTGGATTGTGATCTATGCTAACTTAAATTCATATTGTTGTTCGGTTCCGATTCTCCGTGTCGGTTAAGATTTTTAACATCGTATATTATGATCAATGTGAGTTTTCTTATAATTAACCTTTTTAAACTGAAATGCATATGTTATCGAATGATTACGACTTCGATTTTATACATGTTTGGTATGTTTTGTTTATTACTGTTAACTGGGATACGGTATTTTTACACATTATTGGAAAGTAACACGTGGTGTCGTAACTAATCCGTAAAGTGGCTTACACAATAGAAGCTTGTAGGGGTGAACGCGGGTTGGGTTGGGCGGTTTACAACAATTTTACAACCCAACTCAATTATGGCGGTTTGAAAAATTTCAACCCAACCCAACTCATTCAAAAGTATAACCCAACCCAACCCAACCATTGCGGGTTGAGACGGGTTGGGTTGGCGGGTTAGTAGTTACATAATTTGACGAATGAAATAATTCATAAAACTTAAGTTTATAGACCATACTATAAAGCGTCCTATCTAAAAATGTTACAATAGGTTTATAGGACGTTTTTGGACGTTTCAAAAAGTGTTTTAGAATGATCTTTAAATAAAATGTCGTATTAGCTATTTTAAAGAAACATTTTGAGAAGTGTCCCGTAAACTCATCTATTTATAGGACACCTATGCTCATATGACACTTTTTCAAGTCGTGTTGTATAAAATAACTAATACGACGCTTTATTTTAAAAGCATCATAGAATTTGTTAAGACGTCCAAAACCATCCTATAAACATATCGGAACTCTTTTAGATAAGAATTTTTCTAATGTAACTCTTTAAAAGCATCATAGATTGATGGATTCGTCCGTCAAATATCTATCAATATCATTCATATTTTCCAACATATCAATTTGTTGTTACTGTAAAAAAAATCAATAATTTTTCTTATTAATTAGATTATTTGTTATCATTCTTTGATTGTGAATCTCTTTTGCTAACCTATACGTTTAGTTAAAAAGAAACAAAATATAATTATCAATAAAAATTATATAAAATTTATACATTATTAATATATATATATATATATATATATATTTATACATTATTAATATATATATATATATATATATACATAATATATATATATATATTATAAAAATTATATATTAGCGGCGGGTTGACGGGTTGGGCGGATTGAGCTAGGCTCAACCCAATTTCAACCCTCCTAATTGGCGGCGGGTGGGCGGTTTGGCGGATTGGGTTTAATTGGGTTGTTAGCGGGTTGGGTTGGGCGGGTTTCGCGGGTTGACGGTTTTTTGTACACCCCTAGAAGCTTGTGTGCGTTGTGACTGTGATGGTCCGCGCAAGGAGATATATATATTTTTCCCATAAATGCATTTTGTTTGGTAGACCACTGTCGATATTGACTGTGATCTTGTCAGGGTGTGCGTGGTTTTAGAAAGACGATTATTGTGGCTAGTTGCCTGGGAGGGATGTTGTGCACGGGTGCCAACTCAACCGATTTAAATGTTTTTGGACTAACTGGGTTGTCCATGGGTGCCAATCATATAAGTAACTAGGTTGTACCTGGAGCCAACTATATGTTTATTGATTTAAAAGATTTTATATGAACTAGTTTTACTATAGCTATTGCACTATCAGATATTTTCTCACATACCATATGGTCTAATCCTCATTTTGTTTTCAAAAATATGTATTTCAGGACAGCAACGTTTAGAGAGTAAAAGGAAAATTATGAGACCTGTTTAAATGTTTATACATGAATCCTGTTGAGGAGTTTTATGATGTCTGATTTTAATCTTTTTATTATGAAATTACACCTTTTTGTTATAGGGATCCTATTAGCTAAAAGTTCGTAGTAGATTTTAGACGCTTGTATAGATTATGTTGAATGGGAGCTAATTTATAGCGCCAATATGGTGTGTTATGTATAAATTTCATGTTATTTGTTATATGGAAATGCAGGATACAAGGATGAACCCGAAGAGAGTAAATTGCACCTATTGGTCCCTATGATATGCTTAGATGTTAATTGCACAATTTCATTCCAATAAGTTTGCAATACTTCTAAATCAAAAAACATAAATCAAAAACCTAAATCAAATCATGAGCCGAGTATGGTCGTAGGTGAGTTGGGATGACTGTTTCCAGCATGATATTATATATAGGGGAGCGATCAAATGAAAACCACTTAATTTGTAGAAATCGTGCAAACCTTATTCAACCAATCATAATTTTTCATTTTGTTCATTTTTTTGTAATTATGAGAGGTTGATTAATTATTTTTATTGTGGAGAGTGTTAATCATAGATTTATCATTTTCATTATTTTAACTTTAGAGAAATACATGAAATAGTTTCATTAAAATTTCATTAAGTATTATATGAAATAATTCCATAACCATATATGAAACAATTTCATCAAAAAAAGTATTATATGAAACAATTTCACAAGATTAAACAATTTCATTAAAAAATTTCATAAGATTAAACGATGAAATCGACGGATGAGGGTGGTTTGCACAGTTTACACAAATGAAGGCGGTTTTCATTTGATCGTTCCTCATTTTATATATATATATATATATATATATATATCTATATATATATATATATATATCTATATATATATATATATACACATACACACACACACACACTAGTGGCGTATCCGCACGATATTCTGAAACATGAGTTTAGCCTTGAATTATGAGTTTGTTTGGTTATTTTACAAGTCAACTAATATATAAAGTTGAAGATTAATAAGATGTATTAGCGAGATCGATTGAAAAAATAATTGCACACATGTCGAGTTTCTAAACTCATATAAAGTTGAAGGGTTGGGGTGGGGTACATGCATGATCTGAAACCCTTTCTGATATTGTTGTTTCAAATTTCAGTTTACTTTAAGAGAAATAAGAACTTTGAATTTGAATTTGAATTTAGGTTCAAAATAGGAAACAAATAAAGTGTCAAACAACTTTGGAAATAACAAACATATATTTTTCATGTAAATATGACTTACTTAAATATGAACATTTAACCAAACAAATGATATGTTTTAAGCATTTGTACATTATGCATAATAGTTTGTACTTAAGAGATTTTTGAATCTTTTGCATAAATTGATAATACTTTATGCTTTAAGACTTTTGTTTAATGTAGTATGTATATATATGTATATATATATATATATATATAGTTTTGAATTCATTGAATTTGTCATGTGATAGAAAATATTAAAATCATTAACAAACTGGTAACTGGTTCTTTATTAATGATGAAAGAAATAAAAAATTAAAAGAGTAATTAATGATATGGAATCCAAATTGAATATGATATTAAACCCGAAGTTCAAACTAGGCCCAACCCATTTCATAACAGACCGTTTTAGGTCCTTTAAGAACATGCCAAAACTATTTGACCGTTAAACCCACCTCTCTCTCTCTCTCTCTCGCCAAGTTCAAAATCTGTATCTACTTTCCTTTCGCCCTAAAACAATCATCACCCTCAAATGGTTGATCTTCTTCACCTACCAATCAAAATATAGCAGATTTTGGATCTTCTCCCTTTTTCTTGTGTTCAAGAACTATAGATTTTCGCAAATTTATCCACCCATCAGGGTTTTGTTCCACTTTCTGCCATAAAGATTCAAATATTTCTGCAATTTCATCTGTTCTTGAGCTTTCAGCGATTGGGGGGTTCGGAAATCTACAAGGGTATGTCTTGGAAGTGAATAATTTTAGTTGATTTGACCTAGAAAATGCCGGTGTCAACGAGGTCACAGGTGAATGTGATTCAAGATCAGAATGAGGATGAAAGGATTAGCATGAGGAGTGATCAAGAAAACACCCATTTGGGGAATCATCATCATCTGAGGAATCCTCACCATGGATTGAAAGAAAAGATGAAAGCTTTGACCCAATTGTATGAACAGCAGAAACAATCGTCGATAGCTCTCAGAAACCCTTCTCCGAAACCAGATGGAACTCGATATTCAACACATCCGAGTGTGGATCTTTTGGCTGCTGGTGGTGGATCTTCTAAACAAGAATCAGAAAATAAGAAGAAATCAAGAATAGTAGAGAATCATGTGATGAGAGAGAATTCGATGCCTATTTCTACAGTCACCAAGGCTTATGTATTGCCACGGCCACCACCTTCTCCGATGGGGGCGGCGGAGGAGGATGCCAAGGAGAATATAGCTGTGATGGAAGTCGGTGGTGCTACTGCTAATGGTGAAAAAATAGTCGGATTTAACTGCCCAAGAAGAGAGCCAGTGTCTACTACTGTGGCAAGAAAGCTATCAATGGGTAGTTCCTATACAGCCCCTGACCCAAAAGGGAAACCTGGTGGTGGTGGTGGTGGTGCTGGTGGTGGTGGTGGTGGAGGTGGTTGTGCTACCGGTGATGGTGGTGATGCAGAAGTGATTGTTAAGAATGTGGCAGAACCTGAAGATGTCACAGTGAAACAAGGAAAAATTGGTAGCAGGATTCTTGTTTTTGTAAGACTAAGACCATTGAGCAAGAAAGAAAAGGAAGCCAGTTCAAGATCTTGTGTCCGAATTGTGAATCAGAAAGAAGTTTACTTGACGGAATTCGCGAATGAGAACGATTATCTAAGGCTTAAGAGGCTTCGTGGCCGCCATTTCACCTTCGATGCCTCGTTCCCAGATTCTTCGTCCCAACTAGAAGTTTATTCCACTTCGTAAGGATAACAATATTTCCTTTCTGTATCATATGCTTGTATCTTTACACAAAAATCCTGTTCAAGTATATCAATTGTGTAGTTTAGAATTAGTTCATACTAACACAAAGCCAAATAGTCGATCTTTCTAGAGAAACAAGGGATCTTGGTGCACCGTGTTTGGCCTTCTATTATGCCCAATAGATTTAACATCTAGCAGTCTAGGAGAACTAGAAACTAGAAAGCGAAATAGGTAAAAAGGAGTCTTGGTGCACCATTTATGGCTACACCCGAAAGATTTAACATCTGATGATCGAATTTCTAGATAAAAATAGAAAGCCAAAGTGTCTTCGAGCACCATTCTTGTGTTTCTATAATGCCAACTTAACATCAAAGACTCGGTATTTCAAGAAATAAAAAGCCAAACTTGACATCAGATGATGGCTATTTCTAGCCAAAATGGGGGTCTAGATTTGAATATTGGTTTGAATTTGCAGAACATCAGAGCTTGTTGAAGCTGTTTTGCAAGGAAGGAATGGTTCGGTTTTCTGCTATGGTGCTACAGGTGCCGGAAAAACGTTCACAATGCTGGGGACGGTTGAGAATCCAGGTGTAATGGTGTTGGCTATAAAGGATCTCTTCAATAAGGTTAGGCAAAGGAGCTGGGATGGGAATCATATCGTTCATCTGTCGTATCTAGAGGTCTATAACGAAACTGTTAGAGATTTGCTTTCGCCTGGCCGGCCTCTTCTTCTTAGAGAAGATAAACAGGTCCGAATACCCTTTTATATCTGCCATTTGTGTTGCGAATCTTTTTGAGATTTTTTATTTTGTTCTTCATCTTCGCTTTATGATCATATTCAGTTGAAAATTTCTGAGTTGTTTTCAGGGAATTGTGGCAGCAGGACTGACTCAGTATCGCGCTTATACTACCGATGAGGTGCTTCTTTTAACCGTCATCAAGAGTTCTTTCAATGACTTCGAATTCTGAAGTTTCTTATGTTATAGGTCATGGTGTTGCTTCAACAAGGAAACCGTAATCGGACTACAGAACCAACTCGAGCCAATGAAACATCGTCACGTTCCCATGCTATTCTTCAGGTATTTTTCATATTGTTTTCCAAGACTTCAAAAGTTTGAGGTCAGACAGAACTAACATCCAGTTTGACGAATGTCGGTTAGACACGGTCCAACTCACGTAGATATGATTATATGTGTGTGTATATATGTATGATTCTCCTGTCTCTCTAAAAGGGTCCTTTTAGAGAAATATAAGGGGATTCCACATATTCTTTATGGTATCAGAGCCGGTGTCTAGCACCCCCAGGGACCTGACACGCTTTTTTGTCTTCGTACCATCTAGTCTCTGCTCGAGGGGGCGTATTGAAGTCCTTGACATCACACCCTCTTTACAAGGGTTCTTTTAGAACGAACCAAGGGGTTCCACATATCCTAACAAATTTGGAATTTTTAAAGTTCCAAGAAACTTAGGTGATGTTTTTTATTGTCTTTATGAGCTTGATGGGCTTACAGTTTACAGTTTAATTTGTTAAGCTATGCAGATGTGTAGTTGGCTTAATAGATATATGGCTTAATGGAAACTGATGAATTCTATATTGGATCAGGTTATGGTTGAGTATCGAGTGAGAGATGAATCTAACAATGTTACGAACCGAGTTGGAAAGTTATCGCTGATTGACTTAGCCGGCTCGGAGCGAGCTCTAGCCACCGATCAAAGAACACTTAGATCTCTCGAGGGTGCCAACATAAACCGTTCACTACTTTCTCTTAGCAGCTGTATTAACGCCCTCGTTGAAGGAAAAAAGCATGTTCCTTATAGAAACTCGAAGCTTACTCAACTGCTTAAAGACTCTCTCGGTGGCGCCTGTAATACCGTCATGATCGCAAATATCAGCCCGAGCAATCTTTCATTCAGCGAAACTCAAAATACCCTGCATTGGGCAGATAGAGCCAAGGAGATTCGTACCAAGGTTTGTTTCCAAAGGGTGCGTTTGGTACATGGGACATGTAGAAACAATCACCTGTCATCCCATCTTTTCTATGACATTTAGACGGACAGGATTGGACAGGAACGAGTGGGACCAATATGCAATTTTTGTACAATATTGGTAAATTACTAAACTACCCATGTCAAATAAAAGCCCTATAATCTTGCACAATTCTTTCACTCTCACTCTCGCCTGTTCAGTCCTATCCCGTCCAGTTCTGTCCAGTCCGGTTTGCGTATCTAACTCACCCAAAAAGTTCTCAGTTTTCTGTTATTCACAAATGAATAATGCTTAAATGTTGTGATTTCCAGGAGGCAAACGAGGAAATAACGCAAATACCCAATTCGGAAACCAATCAGACAAAGCTACTACTCGAGTTGCAGAAAGAAAACCACGATCTAAGAGCACAACTGGCTCGCCAACAACAGAAATTGCTGGTGGTTCAAGCACAATCTTTGGCAGCTGCATCACCAACCCCTTCTACGTTATCATCGATCATGACAACCCCTCCAACTTCTTGTAGACGAAAAGAAGGAAGAACAAGACCATCTTTCTTAGCTGGCAACTGTTTTACACCAGACACCAAGAAAAAAGTAGCCAAAGAAACCGTTAAAGAGCTTAAGCAAACCGTAAAGATGTTAGAGGCAGCTATGGAGAAAATGAAGAAAGATTTCGGTTTGCAGATAAAGCAAAAGGATGAGTTAATTCGTGAAATGTCACAAAAAGCTGCAAATAGAGCCGTGGTGAAGCCAAGTTCAAGGCCAAAAGAGGCGGCAGCCGGTGAACTGAAGAGCCCAAGTGGCAGGTTCATGTCTCCGGCAGCAAGAGATAAAAAACGAAGCTTTTGGGATATAACAACGGCTAGTAGCCCGTCAGTTGTTACGCTAAATGGGAGGAAGACTCGAAGCCATGTTTCTAAAGAATCTCCAGCAGCTCCTTCAATGCTTCTTCAGGTATGATGATCTGTATTCTTATATATGTATGATTGCCAAATTCAAGTTCATTTTTATGATTTTGTGGTTTGTTTTTACATCGTTCAGCCCGGTTTTGCTCGTCAAAAACCCGAATCTTTGAGGCTGTGAAGATACGTCCAACTGGAACACGAACATAGAGAACTTGGAGATGCTCCAAAAATGATCATTACAGCAAATAAGGTTTTACTTTTCTTAGGTTATGTTGGTAAAAACTGAATTATTAATGTGTGGTAGGGTTTTTTTCTATTGAATTTATGTAGCATTTCTTGGTTTCTTTATTGTTTCTTCTTTATCCCCTCGGATACTATCATTACCGCCTGGACAATTAAGACATCCAACCCGAGTGAAATTTAGCATACGAATGGAGGAATATTAAGATGGTATTCATATGTGAATGATCTGTTTTTGTTACCCGTAGATGTGATGCACATGTGAATATATGAAGTTGAGAAATTTTTTAATAGAGAAGCTTAAAGAAGTTGCAATTTGGAGGTCTGAAGCTCAGGTTATAAGAAAATAAGTAGTCATGGATTTCATGGCTTGCGAAAGCTCAAAAAGCTTGGATTTGGCCGATCTTGGCTTGGCTTCTACAGGCTCGAGCTCGACTGTTTAATTCATTTTGTGTGAAAATACGTGGAACCACTTTCCTTTTGGGGCATTTGTACTCGTCTAGCCCGCTCTTTACACTTCTAGGAACAATTGGTGCCTGTTTACCCTCTGTTGGAGGACATATCGGTTAGACTTGAACCATTTCTCATCAATGTAAGTTGGAACCTCTCTTCTCTCTTCAAGAGCTTTTTTACACGGTAATATATTGGAGTTTCACATATTCTCAATATGGACCGTGCAAGGTTTGGAATAGCCTTTCAGACAAAATTAAAGATTAGATATTTCTAAGAGAATATAATCAGACGTTCCCAACAGACTACAGGAAAGGTGGAAGGGACACCTCAAAGATACTCGGTGTATTTCACTCAAAATCAGGATCCAAGTGGTATAAGATGTACACATACATTTGTAGACCTCCTGTGACATAAAGGCTACACATGCACCTAATGTGGGACATAACTTCAGGCCATTTACTTGAACGTTTACCTGATAGGTGTTTACCGGTAAGATTCAACACTCAAAACTTACTTTAGCAGGATGTAAAATTTCATCAAAATCATTCAAAATGAAATTTAAAACTCCCCAAGAGACTTCCATTGCATGGAGTATGTTGCTTATCCAGTTGTGTTTCCAATCAGCAATTCATCTAATCATCTCTATAGTCATGAAATTGTGATCTTGATACCATTTCTTGTTCCTAATAGCACCAGAAGCAAAGTTAATGCTCTTTTATGAAAAGCTTCATCAAGTAGAAAAGCTCAAAAATACAAATGTACCGTTTCGTTGATTAATTAAAAAAAATTGACAACTTACTGCTTTACATCTTTTTAGATGCCAAATTCTGCATTTACAGAAAAGATTGAATAAGTATATAATTGATGCTTTATGAAAGAGTTGAAAACCAAATTGCTAATAACAAAAAAAAATACCATAAAAACGAAATCAAGTACTAAATTCCCTAAAAATAAAAAGGTTAGAGATGATGTTTCTATGGTTTGATATGAATCCAGTTTCATAAGCTTTATCTTCATCGTTTGATTCAGATCCAGTTTCTTGTCTGAAAAGTCAAGAAACAAAATAATTACCTCGAATGGAATTGGTAGAGAAACGATGAATCGAGTGTGGAAACGATGAGCCATAGGAGCATGAGGATCGAGAGGAGCGACTGTTTATAAACCCTAGGGTTATGAATCGCCTGAATCGTCGCCTTGGGGCCTGAATCGTCGCCTCGACTGTAATCGTCGCCTTGGAGAGCCAGAGACGGTTGGAAAGGGAATGATGAGGGTGGGGGCGTGGAGCGGTGTTATCAATATGATGGGGAAAGACTTGTGCTTGATAGAGTTGTACATGAAGCTTATGAAGTTGTAATTAAGACTTTAAGACTTTATGCATTAAAAAGCAGTACCAAATGCATTAGATGTTGTTTTTAAGACTTTCGTTAAATATGGTTTATAAGGTAATACAGATAACTATATTCAAAATCCATTGATCAATCATGGTTCTTCTTATTAAATTTCTGTGTTGATGTTTACTTACATTTTTGGATGAAAATTAGTATGAACAATACAAATTCTTCTTCGGGTAACCAAGGGATTGATGCTAGATATCCTAATGATGGTGACATGAATGGTTTTTGGAAATTTTATATAAAATCACAATAGAATTTAAATTTTTATACAACTCTAGTTAAATATGATACTCTATTTTATTTTATGTTAATCCTTATCACAAGCAGTTTGTTTAATTCTCAGCATATCATAAACACTTCCATGGGATTGGGCTGCTTTGGCCATTGCATGGGTTGCATGTGGCTTAGGTCGGCCTTGAGATCAACATAGGCTCGTGTTGCCAGGCTAGTTTAACAAATTTTCACTTAAAATGAATTTTAGGATGAAAGAAAGTCAACTCTTGATATACTACAAGTCTACAGTCTATATAGATGACATAATAAACGTATTATGATTGGATGGATCTTTGGAAGACAACCCTCCGGACCTTTTGCAAGGAGGTGTCGGACAACCACAACCATATTTTCTTCCGATGAAAATATGCAATATGTGCTTGGAGTCCTTTGGTTGCTGCCTTGGAAACTCCTCAAGTAGGGACTATGTGGGATAATAATGTGTTCCATGCCTTTTAAAGTTTGAAAAGGACACATTTTGGTGGTGTTTGACTCCTCTTTTGGCCGAAAGGTTGACATGAGCAGGTGCTGAATGTATGTTTTTGTGGATTTCAACTTATTTTTCTGTTTGTTGTTCTTTTTGGCGTTTTCTTTAGGCATGAAGTCGTGGTGTAGTAGCTTGTCCTTGTTTTGGTTGCTTTGTGGTATAGAGGGTGTTCCAACCACCTCAGATATCTCAATTGTTTTTTGATGTTTGCTTCTTATTTCTCCTTCAGGCCTGTCTCTGCGTCTTTGATTGGGGGCTCTGTTGTTTTTCCAGTTTAACCTAAACTTGCTAGAGCAGGCATCCTCTTTCCAAAAAGAAAGATCATAATACTAGAACAATCATTTACTACATGACATGGAGAATGAGTTATAAACGTTAACATTATAAAATAAGTGTTCCATGTCTATATTCATTGGAAAACAAAACACTTTGATCTGAAAGAAACCGTTTGCCTTTTTTTTCAGTCGCTAAAATTGTTGCCACTCGTGGTTGATTGATCTTGCAATAATCCCATATTATCGTCTCTCTAATTTTATGTTACATGTGCTATTTTATCAAACAAAGGTTCTACAAGAAAGTAAGAAAGAATAAAGAAGACAACATGAGAGAGAGAGAGAGAGAACGTTCTTAGAACAAATAGAAGAACTATAATTTGAAACAACGTTTTCGAATTATAACTCGTTTTAACAAAAACGATCTATTGTCTCGTTAATTTTTCAAATAAAAGAATACCAACTTGCTCATTGGTCTCTCTTTTTCTATATAATATATATATATATATATATATATATATTATTTTAAAAAAAAAAGCAAAAAGGGTTGGTAGACCAAACCAAAGCTACTTAAAAAGATGTTATATGTCTTTAATTAATAAAAAGCAAATATATTGGGAAGCTTGCTTCACTCACTTCCATTCACTCTTTCTTTTCCTCCAAATCCAATGGAATTTTAAAAAACGTGTAGTTATATATAAATTAAATAATGCAATTAATAATGATATTTTTAATTTAACAAATAATTTTTTAATATTATTTATTTGTAGAATAATAGCATATATAAATATATCAGCGCCCCCAACGTTGTTGTTCTTCCTCATTGCTCAATCATCTGCTCTCCATTATTGTTTGTCGTTGTTATTGGTTCTTGTCATTAATCTGTTTGTTTCTTTTCGATGTTCCGTCTTTTTTGATCTATCTATGCATACTCCGTTAAATTGTTGAAAAAGAAAGATATTTGAAAGACAAAAACAACAGATCAAAAAGGGTGTGCGGAGAATGGATGACGATGTGGCAAACGAGGGGGCGATGTCTTTGGGTGTGAGGGGTTTGAATACCAGAGAGTTTGAGAACGGTAAAACTAATTTAGGTTTTCTCACTTAAAAACCTTGTGAGCTGGTTATAAGTAGTTTTTTTTAAAATTAAAGTACATAACCTATTTATATGATTTATTTATAAAGAAAATATTCAAAGACTTAATCATTTAAAATGCAAAAAGTTCAATGATTTATTAAAAAGAAAAAAAAATCAAGGGACTTAATTATTAAAAATAAAAAAGTTCGTTGAGATTTTCTGTACCAAAATTTGATAATTCAAAGTAAGAGAGAAATACATATTCTTTACTATAATTTAAAGTACTGGGAGGTCACAAGTTCAAATCCAAGAAAGAATAAAAATTCTTTTGTAACCACGAAGGTTCAAATACGATAACTACATGCTATCTACAAAGTAGGTGGTCATTCTGAGATTGGTCGGCTCACGTAACGGGTTGGATAACCAGGTTAATAAAAAAACTTTTATTAAGATTTGATGGGAATAAAAAAATTAAATAACTTTATTTTTAAAAATAAAAAATAGACATAATTGCATATGGGACAATGGATTATAGCATTAAAATGTCTTATCATGATCCAAAGTACTTTGAGGAGCTTATGATTAAAGTCACTTGATGGTATAAATATTGATTTATAGATTACATGATACCCCCTTGTAGTATCATGCATTTCCAAGAAACACCCCTAAGATACATTTTTCGAGGAGCATTCCTCATGACTCGGGTCCAATTAAAACTACTATTACTTATCCAGTAAGTACTTACCGGTAAATTTCAACACTATCACTTACTTACATGTTAAGATTTTAGTCCATAAAATGGCATCGTATGCAATAATTTACTCGGTAAGCACTAATTATGTTAAGAGTTGTTGGTCTCGCTTATCGGATAAGACTCTTGATATTTGTCTACCTCTTACCGAGTAAGATTGATGGTCCTTACTATATTCATCCGGTAAGGTAATGTGACTTGGTAAACGTTTATCCAAGTAAGCGTTTAGTAAACAGCCGTAAATTGAAAAACAGAAACTTGGCATACTCATATATTAAAGTCATAAGACGAGTGAATTGGTAAAAATTGAATCAATAGAATGATATTGAACAGCTTGACTTAAAAAGGTTATGTGGAATGAACATGAGGAATAGTCGTAAGGACGAATATTTTGAAAGTTTTGGCTATAGACCGTGGTACTTTTTTATGTTTCAAATCACCAATATTAATTAAGATATCACATATTCAAGAAAAGAGAGGTAATTATCG